CGTGGCGTGTGCGTGTGCGTGGCGTGTGCGTGGCGTGTGCGTGTGCGTGTGCGTGTGCGTGTGCGTGTGCGTATGTGTGTATGTGTGTGTGTGTGTGTACGATTGGTTCCTACACTTAGATTTAGCGAAGAACTAAAGACAAGAACCAATTATATTAAAAAATCACTAAGCGCTGACTAATTAATTTTTTCTGCTGAACGCATCCACAAATCTTGCGTCACGTGAGATCTCAAACAATATGAAGCGATGTATAGTAACTGTACGAGTGTGTTCCGATATTCACTGCCAATGCTGAAAATTTATAGCGTACGTAACGTATATTGTAGATATAGTTACTGTGTGTCGTAACCCGCGATCGCTTTTTAGCTGGTTCTATACGTAAATAGTTGCAAGCAGAATAATGTAAGAGAGAGATTATGTATTTTAAATACTTTTGTTTCTAGTACAATATTTCTAATACAATTGTGTGTATTTTTTATTTTAGAGAAGCTAAATAATTCAAGAAACGAATATAAAAGAAAATAGGAGAACTTTGTATTTTGTATTTTAAATAGAAAGATTGAAAGTATTTTATATCCTGCATAATTCAAATAATAAGATTGATTGTTAGTCTGAGGCTTTCTTGAATTTATAACATACAGTATGAATATTGAGCGTATACTCGGCATTTTGATATAGTGGGTCCCAGGTTACATGACTCGCCGCCATGTTGTGAGTTGGAAAGACGCTTACAAATTTGAGTTTTTATAAAGCTACAGAATTATTTTTCCAAAAAAAAAGACATAATTCGGTCCTGTCATGAAAATTGTTTATAACAAGTATATTTTTAAATCATAATTATATAACAATATAATGTTGACGAACTCATTATATAAAAATAATATTTACATTAATAATAATAATAATAATATTAAATAATAAATAAATTAAAAATAATAATTGATTAAATATTATAAACATTGTAATCGAATAAATATGTATGAAAAAATAATATTGCATGAAAATTATAATTAAATGTAAAATTGTAATTTAATAATATACGCGTGCGTACATACGAAAAAAGATAGAATAAAGTTTTGTTTCACAGCGTAAGCGTCTAAAGCGAACGCCCCGTGCACCTCATGTCTTTGAACGTTAGACGCTCCTAAACGTTGAATGGCATTTGAACTGCGAACGGTGAGAGGAGTAGCGGGAGGCGGAGTCTTTCGAAAATTGGCTGAAAAGTGCAAATTTTGCCTGATCTATATCTTGAGTACCTCGAGTATTTGTCATAATGTAAAACACTAAATCTAACTACTAAAGTTAGATCATGACGGTGAAAAACTGCATAATAGTAAAGAAAAAAATCATAAAAAGTAAAGAAAGTACCATAATGCAACTTTGGGAAAATTAGTCTTTAAAAATTAGACTTTAAAAAAATTAAAATATCATGGGATACATTGTCAAATTTCATTATACTTTACATACAAGGTACAACTGCCACCAAATATCTACTGTATAAATTTGAGCGTATTCGATTTACTTTGACAAAAGTTATGCTCAAAAAATCAAAAGATGATATAATTTTGGCCGGTACTGTATATAGAATTTATTGACAATTATAGCTATTTAAGATTTCAAAAGTGAAAGTTTGAATATGTATATATTTTTAATATTAAAGCGATTTGATAATAAAAATAAAATTTGTGGCAAAATATATATATATATAAAGAATCACTAAGCGCTGATTAGTTTTCTCTACTAAACGCAGCCAGTGGCTGCGAGCTAGAATCTCTTTAATAAGGAGTCAAATCATAAGAAGTACCAATCTCTAATTAGTCAGATTGTGAGTTCCTTTAAACGTCACCATTTGCAGATACTTTCGATGCGATAGTAAATCTGTGAATTGGTGTGAACAACTGTTTCATAAGATTTGTTTTCTGTTCCTGCACGAGGATTGCACTAGAACTGAATTGAATTGAACTAGTGCAATCCAGAACTGACGAGTGTAAGTGTTCAAGCAAGGAATAAAAACGTTTTAGTGCAAGATAGTGATGTCGATTCTTAAAGAAAAAAATCGATTTTCGGAATCGAATTCTTTTGAGTTTAATTCTTAATATCAATTAATCGGATAAAAAAGAATCAATTCTTTCGATTCTTTACCAGCAATTAGTTTCCAAAAAAAAAAAAAATTAGGTTCGACTTTTTCAAATTTCCTTTTAGTATCTTACAAATAAGGTTCAAATGGATTAATTATCGAAATAATGATGTTTATATTGTATATTATGTTTATGTATTGTTACAAATAACAATATTTATATTACAGGGTGGGGCAAAAGTCCCGCTACCATTTTGATTGCGCGCTATGGTTATGTGACGTATAGCTCAGTTTAGCTTTAACCGTTGTGTTGTGTAGACGTCCAAATTTTATAATGGATAAATATACGCCACAAGAACGAGCAGAAATAGTGACAATATTTATTGAAAATAATCGTTCCATTATTGCCACTCAGCGGAAATTGCGTCAGAAATATCGTAATCGTCCAGTGCCTCACAAAACCACAATTTATCGTTTACATGCGAATTTTCGACAGTACGGTACGACAGCAGACAGACCTCGTTCTGGAAGACAACGGACGTCTCGAAACGCTGAAAATGTGGCTGTGGTGCGCGATAGTGTTGAAGAGTCTCCAGAAACATCAATTCGGCGACGTGGTTCCCAGTTACACATTTCTGCACGCAGTTTAAGGCGAATTTTGAAAACTGATTTGAAAATGTTCCCGTATAAAATTCAATTAGTCCAAACATTACTACCGAGAGATCATGATCAACGAGTTGAGTACAGTAATGCAATCCTAAGGCTGTCTGGTGAAATTGAAGATTTTTCGTCTAAATTGATAATGAGCGATGAAGCCCATTTTCTTCTTAGTGGCCATGTCAATAAACAGAACAGTCGGTTTTGAGGAACACAGAATCCTCAATTAATTGTCATCATGAAACATCATTGCATCCACTAAAAACAACTGTATGGTGTGGTATTCATGCTGGAAACATAATCGGTCCCTATTTTTTTGAAAATGACCAAGGTGTTGCAGTTACTGTTACTGCTGAACGATACCAAGACATGATTCGACATTTTCTTGTGCCTGAAATGGAAGAGCAAGGACTACAGGACATGTGGTTTCAACAAGATGGGGCCACAGCACACACAGCCCGTTCAACAATTCAATTATTGAATGACGTTTTTCCACGAAGACTAATTTCGCGAAATGGCGATTTAGCATGGCCAGCCAGATCTCCGGATTTAACAGCACCAGACTTTTTCTTATGGGGTTTTTTAAAATCAAAAGTTTATGTGAATAAGCCCCAAACGATTCAACATCTTAAAGACAATATTCGTCACGCAATTGAAGAAATTCAGCCTGAGATGTTGCACGATGTCATGAAAAATGTCTTAAAAAGAGCCGAAAGTTGCATAGCGAATCGCGGTCACCATTTAGCCGATATTCTTTTCTAATCATAACGCAAAAAAAATGTAAAGACCAAATAAACATTGTATGAAAACCAAACTGACTTATCTTTTCTTTGAACAAAGTTATAGACAATCAAAATGGTAGTGGGACTTTTGCCCCACCCTGTATATACACGAGGTTTCAGACGTTTTCTTATAATTATTACATTATATTCTTTAGTCATGCACTCTACGGTGCAGTGCATTAATTCATTGGGTCATAGTAGATGCCCGACTTATCGATGTTTATTTATTACTCAAATACTATCAACTTTACAGAAAAATTGCAAAAGACAAAAATTATTAATTTTCTTCTCATAGAACTCTAAGAATTTTTTCAGAATTTTTTACAAACTTTTTTTTAGTATTGTATTTTCTTATTTTTAATAAGTCGGGTCACTACTATGGCCCAGAGCGAATTAATGCATTGCACTGTACATACGTATTAGTATCAACTTATATGTATTTTTAGTGGACTTAAATATAAAGTAAAGAGTCTCACAGAGAGAGAGAGAGAGAGAGAGAGAGAGAGAGAGAGAGAGAGAGAGAGAGAGAGATTGCATCACATGAATACCCACATCTAATCAGGATGGAAGTCATGTGACCAGTTTTCTCCAATTTCTTTCATGCCTATGGAGGGGAAGACTCCGATTACACATAGTGCATGTTGCACACATGCGTCGCTAATTGGCCAATTTAAAAATAAAATATTTTCATTGGTAAAGTAGTAAAAAATTACTAGGCACACCAGCTGATATGAGTGGTATGTGTGCAATCGGGATCGTAGGCAAATGGGGTCCTTCCCCCTGAAACTTTAATGCACGTGAATAAGAGAAGACGAGTCACATGATGCAATTTGCTCTCTCTCTCTCTCTCTATGAGGCTCTCTAGTATAAAGCCTATGGCATTTACAAAAACATAAGGCAATAAGATATAGCAATAATCGCATCAGCTAATCACAATAAAGAACGTAAAATAACTCTATTGTGACTGATCGATTTGCTTACTGCTACATCTTACTGCAATTGCAGTTGGTGCGGAACACTTGTGATTGGTTCTGCCCTCGTTCCGTTTTACGCTATTCAGCTACATGGGTAAGCATCCTTAATTTTTACAAATTAACGATTTGTAGAAATTGAGAATCGTCGATGTGTTTCTCTGAAAAATTGGACTGATTCCGAAAGAATCGAGAAATAAAAAAATCAAATCAATTTAAAATCGCTATTTTAAGAGCAAAAAGAATCGATTTTCGATGTATCGATCCAAAAATCGGCATCACTAGTATAAGATAAAAATGGCGTCCCATATTGTTTACATGGTAATAGTATTGTTTACAGTATTAGATTCGTGTGATAAAAATGAATACAATTCTGAATCAATTTAAAAAAATTCTTAAAGATAATGACACAAAATGTTTTTATATGTAGGCTTGCTGTTATTTATATATATTTATCATTTTATTACTCATAAATTGTAGGATAATTATTTAGAAGATTCTGCCCCTCACATTCAATTTTAATAAAATTATACTTATTTGTCGAAACGAAAGAATCTGGCAGAAAATGTCATGGCTAGGCCCGCAAACTGAGATATTAATTTCAGAAATGATAATTGCGTGCCAATATAAAAAACTGTTATTGCGCAGAATATTGTTAAGGTCTCGGTAGTCTAAAGGCTTAGGATGCTCGCACGGAATGCAAGAGATTCGAATTTGGTTCCCGGCCGGCCGAGGCAATATTTTTCGCAATAAATTTATTACAATTTTTTAAGATTAAATTTGGAAAATTTGGGAATTATTAATATTTCAGATTGATTGCGCTAAAAGTTCGACAACCATATCGGCATGCAATTATCATTTCTGAAATTAATTTATTTAAATGAATATATATGTATAATAGTTCAACATCTTAACATTCAGATCGTAGTGACGCTTTATATTTAAAATAATACATTTAACATAAACGGTCTTGTTTCCAATCTTATTGAAATATTAAGCGTTAAAATTGACGACATTATGTTAGAAGATCTGTCACACTTAATGCAGCGCTATGTATTTTAGTCTACATTTATTTAGAATCGTTACTTCACCTCGGATTTTAATAAAATTAGGCTCATTCGATGCATTTTTAAAACGAAAGCGTGCTCTCTTCTTGCTGTGTGTGAAAAATTGTAAATCCCTAAACGATGAAAGGAAGACGATTTGAATATTAATAAACAAACTTTAATATATCGCTGTAAAAATAAATTAATAAAAAATCTATGCACATGTAGCCATAAAACATGAAAATACATCGCAGCACATACTTTTATCGCGATATTTCGCAGCTGATAAATTTCCTAACCTCAATAGTCGTCAACTTCAACTTAATATCTCGGTTCGCGGGACTAAGCACAACATTTTGCTGCTAAATTCTTTCGTTTTATGCAAAAACGCGTTGAATGACCATAATTTCATTGAAATTAAAGGATGTCTTCTAAATAATTACAAATTCTCACATTATTTGTACATACAAGGTCTGTTTTTTGTAGCTGAATTAGTGTACATTACTGCTTGCACTCCAGGGGGTTTATTACGGTTCTTGAAACAACGTAAAAATTAAAGTGATCGAATTTACTAGAATATCTATAACTTCATTGGTTAACACCTGGAGTATGAGTTTGCTCATTTTTGTAATTTTCACTTCTTTTAAAGAACTGTAATAATTCCTCAGGGTGCGATTACATGGAGCGCGGTACGCGGTACGCGGTACAATAATTAGGAATCGATTCTGTGTTTTGAAACGAGATGAAAATTACAAAAATAAACGAATTTACTAGAATACTGATAATTTCATTGGTCAACACTTAGTAAATTTGCTCACTTTTGTAATTTTCATCTTGTTTCAAGATACAGAATTGATCCTCTAGTAATAACTAACTAGGCAGCTAAGAAACCGCGTACTACGTACCGCCTATTTCTTTCACTGATATTACATGGAGTGTGGTTTGCGGCACGGGCTAAACTCACATTAGTATAAATTTTTTTAAATATATTAACTTATTTTTGTCGATACTTTTATTTTTTTAACAGATTTATTTAATAATTACGTTTAAATCAATTTTAATTCCATTAAAAAGTGCATAGCAGTGTAATGTGAGTTTGTTGCTAGCCCCTGCCGCAAACCGCGCTCCATGTAATATCAGCGAAAGAAATAAGGTACGTACGCGGTTCTCTAGTTGCCGAGTTAGTTATTACTAGTTATTGTACCGTATACCGTGTACCGCGCTCCATCTATTTTTTGTTGCTGCACTAAACTGCACTAGCACTCTCTTTCTCACTTTCAAAAAATATCAAACTGTAGCGGATTGCTACATATAATAAATGTAGGTAATGGATAGCACTTGATTTAACAAGTAACAACGTTTATTTAATAACAAAATACAATATCTTATCGCGAGGTTGTAAAGTGATGATGTCGTATACGAGGACGGTTCTAGAAAGAGTGAAAATAAAAGTGTATCTAAATGGGAAATTAAGTATGGTGTTCGTGAGAGCGCGCCATCTGGTCGCGGAGTGTGTATGTGGAAATGAGTGTAAGGCATGAAGTATACTGAAAGAGTATGAGTGTATTTCCACAAAACATATACTTATCTCACTTCGAGTTCCAAAAGTGTACACTAGCTCAGCCACAGAAAACAGACCTCTAGTGTAGCCAATACAATGAACTCGTACACTGAGTTCTGTTGCACTGGAACAAAAAACACCGTCGCTGATGCCATTTTGGGAACAGAGAGTCGATTGAATGTTCATCGTTGAATGTTCTCACTTCTCGCACTTTTATCTCACGTGAAAAAATACGCGTAATTGGCTATGAGCATAGTGAAAATACGATATCCCTATGGTCACGAGAGTGAAAATCACAGATGTGAGTGCGAAATGCAAGTGATACATAACCAAAATGATGACATTTGTTGTGACGCACGTAAGCACACACACACACGTATATGTATAATTTATGACAGAATATAATTTATTTCAACATTAAGATATTTATGAATCGTGTATTATTCAAATAACTATTATTCATATAACATAAGATCTGTTCGTGTTGTTTGCACTTTTGACACTCGGCATCTTCGCTTTCTCTCTTTCCAAAGAAGTATCTATACTAAATATATATCTATCTCATTTTAAGTGCAAAAATATTTGGGAATTTCATGCAACGCGCACAAACCTATATTAAAATCACCTATATACGATCAAGCGGATCTTAGTGTTCAATAATATTTTTTAGTGAATTTTATAAACTTACCATTTTATAATTTTTGTTTGAACTGGAAATTTTAAAATTTACGCAAAAATATTATAAGATACGAAGATTTGCTTCGACCAATTATTGGCCATTTAATTATCTTATTTATTTAAATAATTTACATAATTTACATATATACTTAATATATATTTATATTCTAATCTATGTAATTTTAAATGTATTATCTGGGATTTCAAATGTATCTTGAGTAATCCCGTAATCGTTTTCTTATTAAATCCAAATGTCTTTTGCGAATTTTTTCGTTGTCATTTTCCTCCATAATAAGCATAAAAATAATGTCCATTGCTGAAAAACAATAATCTATGTCTTTAAGTAAAACAGATTTTGACAAATTTCAACTAATTTCGACCAATCTCGACACGTTTTGAGACTATTTGATACAATTCGATCTAGAATTTCTTGTCGAGCAATGTCATGTGATAAATGTCACATTTCCATTGTGATGAAACCTATCCAATCAAGTGAGAGCTCACTTTGTCCTGAAAACGTTTTAGTATACACTTTTTAAACTAGTGCAACTAGGAACAGAAAACAAACCTATGATTTATTATAGTTAGAAGGCGTGAAATATTGGAAATATTATCAACTGTCAACCATGATGGAATTGTGCTATTTCCAGCCACCCGGCTAATCCGGCAATGGCGTCCTTCCGGTCTTATGTCTTAACTCTTACTAGAGGAACTTTACTACTGCGAGCTATCGAGTCTCATCGAGAACGGGCCTTTCCCGACATATCCACATTCCACCGTTGTACGTCGTTCGTATGGTATTTTGAATTAGCGAATCGTCTTGTCCAGGTGACACAACTTGACAAATCGCGAAATGAGATTGTCACTGCGAAGATGAAATGAAAACGTTACAGCATTCTTCTTGCTTGTTGTATTAACTCTCGCTTTCGATAAGTCAACCGTCAAGAGAAACAATAGGGAAACAGGTGTTAAGAAGAAGATAACCTGACCCGACCTTAGCGTTCACCGTATCTGGATAAACGATATTGCAAAAACTTCCTAATAAGCGCCAAGCGGCGTAGCGCAGCGAAGAAACCAACGATTACCAACGCTATGAGAAACTTGACTCTTTTCTCCAAAACAGAAAATTCTTCGGAATCTCCCTCTCGACGAGAACGGAAGGCGGATTTTCAAGAACGCTGAACGGCGCGTGAACGGGAAGAATCGAAGATTCTCTATTGCGAGGAAATAGGAATTTAGCCGCGTGTCGCCGATCTCGTCATCAACGTCGCGTCGCTGCACCATGGACGATCAACTCGACGTGGACGCCTGTTTACGCGTGAATCAAAACATCAATGACCTTGAAAGCCGTCGCGTCACGTGACCGGGGAGAGAGAAGCGCCGATTGGTTCGCGGAGGCCGCGTACAACGTGTATTGCGTCGTGCTCGTCGCGCGGCCCGCATTCCTCGTCCAATAGGATTCGCGCGCGTTGGGCCGGGTGACGTGAGGGGAAGGGAGGACGAGGTGGACAAGAGCGAGCCGCGAACGGCGAGGACGACGACGACGAGGACGACGACGACGACGACGAGGACGACGGTGGCGGCAGCGGCGGCGACGGCGGCAGCAGCAGCAACAGCAACAACAGCAGTGGCGACGGTGAACGGTAACGGTGGTTCTGGCGGTGACGAGGACGAGGAAGAGAACGAGAACGAGGACGAGGACGAGGACGACGACGGTGGCGGCGACGGCGACGGTGCGCCGTGTTGGTCGGTGGCGTACGCCGTACGTGTTGTTGGTGCGTGTGTTCGTGCGCGAGCGCGGTTGGTCGGTGGCTCGCGTTGTATCCAAGATGAAGTCCGACTCGAAACCTTTGTTGACAGCTCAGGCGGAAAAGGCGAATCATTACACGTAAGTAGCGGCCGGCCGGACCGCCCCGCCGGGGCCGCGTGCCCCAACCTTTGTGAGACCAACGTACGATAACTCGGCGCGATCAGCGATGGAGCGCGATGCTGCATGTCGCGCCCGCCGATACTCTGCCTGCGAGAAAGAAGTAATAGCGAGGGGGAGAGTGTGAGAAGGGAGGTGGTGAGCGAGGGAGCTGACGAGTTGGCCTTTTCATACGCCGGGAAGTGCGCGGATCATCTCGAAAGTGCAGTGCGAAGAAAATTAATCAAACATATTGTGAGAGAGGGTGGGTGGGAGGGAGGGAGGGATTAAAAGTAGAAGGTAACGGTGCGGCTAGAGAGGGAACGCAGTGGGATAGAGAGAGAGAGAGAGAGAGAGAGAGAGGCTGCGTGTTGCGGAGAGAGTGAGCGAGAGAGAGAGAGGCTGCGTGAAAGAGTGAGCGAGAGAGAGAGACGAACGCGGCCTATACGCGACTAACGCGACGCGCGCGTCCTACGATTCGCAAAAATACATGTATGAGCGATGAGAGAAAGAAAGAGAGAGAGATAGAGACGCGACGGCGGCGGTGGCGGTGGCGGCGGCGAAGGCAGCGTGGTGGCAGAGGAGCGTGGCAACCTCCAAGTACGGGCGAAAAATAATGTCTAGCACGGTGGATTCGCATTCCAGATACTTGAAGGAGTTCCGCGTCGACCAATGTCCCCTCTTCATACAGCGCAAATGCACGCAGCACCGACCGTTCACGTGCTTCAACTGGCACTTTATGAACCAGCGGAGACGCAGGCCGGTGAGAAAGAGGGACCGCACCTTCAACTACAGCGCCGATAATTATTGCACCAAGTACGACGAGACGACTGGCATCTGTCCCGACGGAGATGAGTAAGTTTCTTTCTTTCTTCGCCTCTGTCTCTTCTATTGCGCATCGCGAATCGCGACGCCGGACGCGCGACGTAGTACACGATTCTTCTCGGTTTGTGCGTGAGAATGGATACGACGTGCGTCGTACGTGGATTCCTGGATAAGAGAACACGTAATGGCAGAGTGCATTCACGACGCGACGATTCTACTTTGATGTAACGTCACTATCGTCGTGGTGTTATCGTGTGTATCGTTAAACGCCACTATTTCGCATCGTTACGTATACATGTACGTACGTGGTCGTGTATGTTATATACACATATATATATATATATATAAAGTTATGCGTTATATATATAACGTACACGTAGCGTTAATGTCGCGGCGTACGTGTTTACGTCCGCGCCTCTCTTTCATCCCCTACGAAGAGAAACAATTGTTGCTCGGATCTTCAACGGGGCTCAGGAGCGAGATACGTGGGAAAAGATACAACGCATACCGTACCATAGAATTGTGTACTGCATTCTTTTAGTTGGACAGTCGCAGCAGTCGCGTGTTATGTATATAGGGG